CACTCGGTCGTCGAAGATTCGAGCCGCTCTGCGCTGGATGCGGTCAAGAGCTGGCATTTCGGTTTTTTAAATTTGAAATTTAATTTATTTACGCAAGTATGAGTTGCCGTATGTATATACTTACATATATAGGGATGCTACGTCCGACGATATGCAGATGTCTTGTCACCCTTGAGGACTAAGATGAAATGTCTCATTGCCAGTATATCTCCGGTGCCTATCACTCGCCATGTGAAACACAGCACCATTATGCCGTTAAAGTTAAAATTACAGCCTATGAACGTCCTACTGCTGGGCACAGGCCTCCTCTCATTTCTGAGAGGGTTTTAGTGCAAGGAAGTGTGCGCCGCGCTGCTCCAATACGTACAATGCGTGTTGGCCAACTTCACATGTCTTCACATGTCTGATAGTAAGTGGTTAAAACTAAGATGGAATGCCGCATTTCAGTCGTCTGAATTCTAAATCGTCGAATGCGCAGTATAAACGCTTTGTATGTTGATACCTAATTTGTTCCAGTCTAGTTTGTTAATTACGGTTTCAAGAATCGATATAAACAATTTTGGGACAACATCAACAAGATATATATATATATATATATATATATATATATATATATATATATATATATATATATAATCCGCCTCGGTAATCCGGACTCCCGCTTGTTCCTCTTCTTTATATTATCTATACTCTTCTGAAATTGAACCGTCATTGCTCGGAAGTTTGGTATAAGCAGGTCAACTGTAGGCGACATAAAGAAAAACAAAGACAAAATCTTGAAGTTTGTTAGCCTAACAGCTCTAAATTTTTATATATTAGATAATTTCTTATAACTTGCCACTGGCAAAAGGACAACAGTCCGAGACCCTTACCAAGTAATTACGCAACGTCATTAACAATAACCGCAAGATTTTAAAATAGCTTACTTTGTTTATCGGTAATGGAAAAATTAATTTGAAACGTCTTATTAAAGCTGTGCTCTTATCGCTATGGGAATAAACACATGCCGGTGTACCGTGTAAGAAGATTTGTCGCAATGTATGAAAGTTACAAAAACTTTATCTTGAATAAAGACAGTATTATTTATACTTTTAAAATCTATACAAATAAATAAAATTGGGGTGTATGTTTGTATCGTTAACATAACAGTTTTTACTAAATGCATACGAAACGGCACTTATAACAAAAAAACAATTTTTAAAATTTTTGTCTGTCGGTTTGGTCCGGATCAACTCCGAAACGGCTGGACTGGTTTTGACGGGACTTTAACTGGCAGATATATGGAGTGTAAAAGTAAGATGTACCATCTCCCATAGTAAGAAAAAGTGGTCATCTGTAAGCAGTAAATAACAGCTCATAAACTCTCCACAACAGCGCTGGAGTAACTACTGGGATGAAATGAACTTAGCAGTTGTCGACGGTTTAAGTGTGCTGCTAAACTACTCAGTAGCTCTAAAATCTAAAATAATTTTATTTAGCAAATATAACCTCGAAAAAGTCGTCTATCCCCTTTTTTTTTTTTTTTTTTTTAAAAAAACTAATATTTTTCGGTGCGTTCTTTAAAATTTACCCTGTAGCTATAGTGGCGCCACCCTTATTTAAAGGTTTCTATGGACACTTTTTAATACACAGTATGTACTCCTTACTTCTACACTCCATAGGCAGATAGCTGATGTTATAAGGAGTAATTTATACTACCGTAATTTAAGAAAAAGAATTACGGTTTCGAAAAAACCCATTAAAATCAATCGTAATAAATTATCAATATTGTACAGGTAAAGAAAATAAGAGCCCAACAATATCTTATATCGAGTATTCTACTTTACATTATCACTTCGGCCGATTTTGCTTAATTGTTTTGTCTGTGTTGGAGTGGATGGTTTAGTTTCACAATGAGACCCGATAGGCGCTGTTGCTAATATCCAGAAATAACACGCGCGAAGCCGGGAAAGATCGCTAGTATTATTTATAGTGTGTTTTGGAAGGTGACCAGGATTAAGAAGGGCGTGCTTAGGTGGTTTGGACGCGGAAAATGAATCACTGAGCAAAGAGTGACAAAGCAAATTTATGTTGCAGAAGTGAGCAGTAGAGTTGGCAAGGGACGCTCAAGAAGAAGTTTTATCGATTAAATTGGCGATTAATAAAGATGGGCCGGATTAAGAGTACCCTTAACCAAGAGCATGTATACGTAGGTTTTTGAACTTGAAAAAAGTGAGGGTGGTGATGGTGTATCAAATGGAAGTCCGTAGTCTCTGCCCACTCCTCTGGGTGACAGGCGTGAGAGTTTATGTTAGGAGTTAACTGAGTTCGATCGCTGGTGGAGCAAATGAAATTTTCATTTTTATTTACAATTTTAAGTGCTGATTTATCATGTGCTCGGCGGCGAAGGAAAATATCGAGAGGAAATATGCTTGTCAGAAATAAAATAAAAATGGCGGCCATTAGGAACTGCGAACAGAACTGAAAACTTAAAAGTGTAAAATAATCGTGTTTTTATTTAATTTTCAAATTAATTGAAAAGTATCAATCATTTTTGGGTATTTTGATTGCCTCATAGCGAGGATTTTGCCATATTTGCCACGCTTGGCAAGCGGGTTGGCAATCGCAGTTTCTTTTAGTCGTTATAAGAAAGACGATGCTGCTCATCTCCTGATTTGTTCCCCTCTGTCGTCCTTACGACACTTACGAGATGATATGTGTTAATGGATATTCAAACACCGCCACTACATTTAATTTTTTCTTTCATTTCAAATCAAATAATTTTTATCTATGACAACTTCTTTTCAAAATTGACACATGACACATTGACAGAAGCGAAAATTGCAGTTTAGGAAATAACTTTCATAACCATATCACATTCCAGGTAAATCCTTTTATTTGTCTTTCAGTCAATTCATTGTTATGAGGTAAAGCACTTTCTGTCGCCCTGGTGAACGCATCCAAGTGTATTCCAGTCCGAAGGGTATAAAGAACGAGTATGAGGCATTTCATCACAGCCCTCAAGAGCGCACATCGGATTCCAGTTATATAAAAATAAATAAAATAAAATAAACTTTATTTCGTTTTATAAAGTACACGCCTTAAAAAACTAGTAGCTTGAAATCTACATTTAAGCAAATAATGCCTGTGTTTAAGAGGGTCCGCGCTTCCATTCTATATCTATGTTACAACGCAGTATAGGTAAATGTATTCTGTATCCCATATTAAAGTTATATATAACTTAAATTCTAAAATTAGGACAATCAAACGATAAGAACTATTCTACTTATAAATACTTAACCATATACCATACAGTAACTATACAGTACCTTCTTAGTTTTGTCATAAGTCTTATGTTGAATACATTTTAAGATTATATATACTCTAATATATATAAATTACGTGTCACGTTGTTTGTCCGCGATGGACTCCTAAACTACTTAACCGATTTTAATCACAAGTTTGGCCCAACTTGAGAGATAGGATAGTGTTTTTTGCCCATGAGTGACCTACAATTCAAAACACAACACAACATTCAAAGAACAACGTCTGCCTGGCAAGCTAGTATATATATATATATATATATATATATATATATATATATATATATATATAATATATCTTTGTTTATGTAATTATAAAGAAAGGCAGAATGCGATATGAATTGTCTGCTTGCAAATGTATATACATTTAGTAGTAGCGTATACACATTTAGTATATATTAATATCAACTCTTTAAAGATATTGTATTTGTGAACCCGTGTACCAAGTGTTGTAACCATGGTGAAATCGCCGGTATAAATCAATTTATGGGGGAGGCCTATATGAACAGCGGTGGTGTTTAATAGGCTTTAATGGATGTATTATAAAAGTTTATACGTAAATAGTATAATAAGTTTGAATAATATAACAGATATAATGAATTTAAAGTTAAAGTTACAGCCTATATACATCCCACTGCTCAGGCCTCCTCTCATTTCTGAAAGGGTTTGAGACCAAGCAAGTGTCCGCCGCTCTTGACTAACTTCACATGTCTTCAAAATATTTTTTTCTTATTTATCAGTCATGTAGGTTTCCTCACGATGTTTTCCTTCATTGCCGAGCACGTGGTAAACCAGCACTTAAAATTGCAATTAACAATTTCATTGGGGCCGGCAGGAATCTAACCCGGGTTGCTCGCGTAATCTCACTATACAGCGAGCGCTAACCCTCTGAGCTAGCACGGCTCCCATATTAAATGTAATAAGGAAATAATAAAGATATAATATAGATTTATATTATGTAAGGAATGTGTACTATCTTATTGCCCACTAAAAGTTAAACTGAACAAGTGGTAACCTTGAGAACATCATCAATTTATTCGAAGTTAATTAAATACGCATTATTATGGATGAGTCAAAAACTACTGGTCAGATCTTGATCAAATTTACTCGTATATGGGACCACACGAGAGGCACCAGCTTTGAAATAAAATCATCCAAATCGAACCGATTACTTAGAAAAAGTTCTGAGGTAACACACACATAAAAACACACAGTCAAATTGTGTACTTCCTCCTATTGAAGTCGGTTGAAAAAGTATTATTTAATTGTTACCAAAAGGCTCTCTTTGTTTGTTTCCCTCAGTCGCCTCTTACGACACCCAGGGGACGATATGGGGATATACCACTACACGATCACGGGATGAAATGGTGGGATAAATTCAATTGATGAACCATGGTGCAGTAACTTAATATTGGTTACACCGCTGAGGGGTGCGGATTTGAATCCCGCACGGAACAAGTTATTGCATCACCTCTTGGTTATTCCGGATCTAGTATTTGTCCGTGTGCAATTTATGTATGTAAACTACCTCCACGACACAGATAAAAATCCTGGAAACGATTTATATAAAAAGATGCTAATTTACCCCCATCATTTGGCAAAATAACGGGAGTACAAATTTTTATTTATTTTCCAGACGTAAACCCCACCCAACTCCAGAACCTCCAAGCATGTATTATTAAAAGACGTTCCTCAAAAATGAATTACTCGGACAAGCGAATAAGAAAACTCAACGAGGTGTCCCTGAAAAAGTTGAAAGAGGGTCACGGGCCCTGTAACGAGTGCATCTGTAACCTCATCTGCCCTCCCCCGGAAAAAATCAACCTGAAGGACACGTTACGGGCAGCACTGGATACAGTGCTTATGTACAAGGACTCCACGGAGAAGTTGGTGGAGGCCAAGGCGTCCAAAACCTTCAAGGAAATACAAGAATTTAAGGGGAGGGTGACCGGCAACGCACCAGCAACGTCAGGGAAGGCACCAAGGTCAGGCAAGTCAGCGAAGTCAGCGACGTCAGAGAAGAAGGACCCAAAAGCAAAAGACAAAAAGTAATCTTTACAAGCTTTTACTTACGGCTTCGCTCGCTATTATTTAAAAACCGACTGTTTAATACACCATAGATTAAAGAGACTGTAATTTGGAATAGACCAGGGTTGGTCTTTTAAACAAAAAAAAACATATTTATATTCTGGTTTGTTATCTATGTTTTTAATATTGAAATACCTGGTTTGTGTTGCCGTACATATATCGAAGTACAAAGCAATCGGATACGTAGAATATCGACAACAAAGGTGTGAGGACCCGATAACCGCCTGGTTGCCCATGGTGGATGGAGGACCCAAAACTTGTAATTTCTGTGCACACTCTCCGAAATGTATGAATAACAAGAGGCTGGCTACTCTGCTAGAATAATCCGCCAAAAGTATATATTGCACAATGACGTGGTAGAGCAACACTGCAGGTATATAATGTTTGTATCACGAATGGGTCGGCTCAGCCGGGGAAGAACCACACCCTCTCAGAATACCAGCGTGAAATAGCAGTAAATTCTGCCATATTTTGTAAGGTGAGAGTAAAAAATTGGAGACCCTTTATACTGGAAACGGGATATTCCATCTAAGTTATCAGGGGTCACAACGCATCTGTAGATGTATATAGGCCACAGCAATCACTTACCATCAGGTGGACTGCATGCCTGTTTGTAACCCTTATTCTATAAAAAAGTTAGTCAGTTTAAGATCAAATTTGATTTATTATAAGATCAAATTTGATTTATTATAAGATTTATTATATGATAAGAGCCGTGGTAGCTCAGTAGTTAACGCTCGCTGTAAATATAACGGAACGCGAGTAACCCGGGTTCGATCCCCGCCGGCACCAATGAAATTGTTAATTGCAATTTTAAGTGCTGATTTACCACGTGCTCGGCGGTGAAGGTAAACATCGTGAGAAAACCTGCATGTCTGAGGAATAAGAAAAAAAATATTTCGAAGACATGTGAAGTTCGTCAACACGCATTGGGGCAGCGCGGCGGACACTACCTTGTCCTAAAACCCTCTCAGAAATGAGGGTAGGCTGAGCCCAGCAGTGGGACGTATATAGGCTGTAAGTTTACTTTACTTTACTTTTGATTTATTTATTAGCATAGCCTCCAATATAGAACCTTGGTGCTTTCGTTGGGCACTATACTTACGTCTTAATTTATATGGATTATTTTGTTTCGCAGGAAAAAATGAGAGAACAGTTGTGATACCTACAGAAAAATCCTAGTCTAGATTAAAAGAAAAATGTCTTTGGAAGATTTAATAAAGCTTGATAAAGTCTCCTTGAAGAAGTTGACGGATGGTGAAGGCCCATGCGACGAATGTATTTGTCACATCTTGACCACACCTCGGGACAAATGCATGACGGCAATGATGAAGAGATGTGTAGCTTGTATACTTTGTAGGAGGCGCAAAAAGGACAAGAAATCTAAGGGCGGCAAGAAAGCCGCGGGCATGTCCAGTAAGGCCGGCGTCGGAAGCAAGAAATCCTTGAAAGGAGTCATTGAAAGCTTGGCCACACTTAAAGTTAGTGACGTCACTTCTATGATAAAATCGATAAGGCTGCCACAAAGGAAATGTGGTCACATTTAATAGGAGGGGAAATTGAATTGGTTATGAAACTAAACACGTTTTGGATAATTAAATAATACTGGGAAATTTTAGAACTTTTTATTGATGGCATATACCGCCACAACTATATTTTAAAAATAGAATACAATAAAAGTTTAAAGTTAAAGTTACAGTCTATATACGTCCCACCGCTGGGCCTCCTCTAATTTCTGTGAGGGCTTTAGGCTAAGGAAATGTCCGCCGCACTGCCCCAATGCGTATTGGCGAACTTTGTGCAGGTTTCTTTACGATGTTTTCAGCACTTAAAATTTCTTTGGTGTCGGTGGAATCGAGCCCGGGCTGCTCGCGTACGGTGAAATTTACAGCGAGTGCTTAGCCCCTGAACTGTCACGGCTCTAGAAAAAGAAATGACAATAGAATAAATTAATTCAATAGAGGGTACTAGTAATTTGTATTTAAAATCCTTTTTTTTACCACACATTCGTGACGAATAGAAAAAAAACTTTTTCGGGGCGCAAAAAAACAGGGTAAAAGAAAACCCACTAAACACCACCTGAGACTGGCTTGGGAAGGTCTTTCAGCTTCAGCATTTTCATTCTAGCTTTGAAGCTAGATGGCTCTGTGATACGATAGCTCTTCATCAGTAAATCAAATAATAAAGGGTCAAAAAGGCACTGCTTTATCGACGCCATTGTGACAGTTGACATTATAGTAAATATTTTAGTCGATGTTAGTAGTGTAGTGTAGTTAATTTTTTGTAGTTGATTTTTAGAAACGTTCCTAACTATTGATAAAGCTCGTTAGATATTTTTTCTTAATATATTAGATATAGTATACGACTTTGTATTTTTGTCTCTGTTTTTCACATAGATTTTGGTTTTATATGGGGGTAAAGCTTAAGGTGACCATCAACTCCCTCACGTACCATATTAATTTAACCACTGGTTCGGGTTTTTCGAACACGTTTCGATTGGCGAATGGTCAGGGGTTACTGAAGTGTTGTCACCACTGGCGACTAAGATGACGGTTCAGTCTCTATCTCCCAGTCTGTAACTATGTCATCTACTCACAGTCCATAACTATACCGGCTCTTTTGACCGTCAGCCCAAGTCTTGGTATTTTTTCTAGTAGTTTTTTTTAGTTTTATATAGTAAAATATATAAACATACATGAACACAAGTTTTTTTTTAAATATGAAGGGGTGACAAGCGAGCACACAGTCGTCCACCTGATGGTAAGTGGTTGCTGTGGCCCATAGACATCTACATCTATCCTCGTTTGCGAATCATAATGCAGATGCGTTGTCAGCCTTGAGGACTAAGATGAAATGCCTCTTTTCCAGTAAAAAGGGTCTCCGGTTCTCTACACTCACCATACAAAACACAGCGTTATACTGCTATTTTACGTTGATATTCTGTGACAGCGTGGTCCTTCCCCGGTCGAGCCGACCCATTCGTGATACAAATATACATTTAATATAGCTGCAGCAAGGCTTTACTACGTGTAAATATGGTTAGTTATTTAAGAAATATAGGGTAAATCTCACCGAAGGGAAGGATGAGTCCAAATTAAAAGAAAAACACCTCACGTAATTAATGAATGCGCTCTGAATAGGCATTCCATAGTTCTCAGTTGTTCTTATTTGTATCTAGATGTAGCTATCCGGCTGCCCTTTGCTGTGGATCAAAGTTTTTTCTTAACAAACGAGCACACAGTCCACCTGTAAGTAGTTGCTGCGGCCCATACATATCTACATCTATCCTCGATTTGAATCAAAACGCAGATGCGTTGTCACCCGTGAGGACTAAGATGGAATGCCACTTTTCCAGTAAAAAGGGTCTCTGGTTTTCTACACTCACCATACAAAACACAGCGTTATACTGCTATTTTACGTTGGTATTCTGTGAGAGCGTGGTCCTTCCCCGGTCGAGCCGACCCAATAATAAAGCTGCAGCGTGGCTCTACGCCTTAAAATATGTGAAATATGATCACTTTGTGACAAAATTTCAAAACAAGAATTTTCCGACATTGAGGATTTTGAAAATTATTTCTATAAACTAGTATTAACTAGTTTTTACGGAATTTATCGCGTATATTTAACTTTTTAATTACCCGACGTTTCGAGAGCTTTACAGCACCCATGGTCACGGGAAGGACTGAGATGTTCAACGTCCAGCTGTCATAGTTAACCGCGGTTACCATAGATTAAAATTTAACTTTTGTTCCGATCTATGCAGTGTGAACTTATGGTATCATGGAGTCTTGCAGTTGTATGCTTGGGTTGGGATTTAATTTTATTTATTATAGGATCCCAAGCAGATGGTAGCACCCAGCCATCTTCTCTATTGAAATTAGGATGTTTTTTGATTTCAATAGCCTCGCGAATCATCCTTGGAAGGAATCGGTGTTCTTTAGCGAGGATTTGTGGTCTATCGAATCTGATGTAGTGACAGGGGGCGATCCTGTACATGTTCACAGACTGCAGACTTCCCGGAGCGTCGATTCTTCACATCAGCTATATGTTCTTTGACGCGGGTTTTAATGGATCTTTTAGTTTGTCCTATGTAGGAGAGACCACGTTCACAATCAAGCTTGTACAATATCAATGCCATAGGCTTCTAGCCTATGGCATTGATATTTTACAATATTTTTGTTTTACATTAACATATCATGAAATTGATCTATCAATAAATACTACTAATTTGAAAAAGCTTACGGTACTAAAAAAATAAAAATAAAAATTTTGAACCTAATAAAAAAAATCAATTAAAAACCTGTCCTGCTTGTCCTGTCCTGTCCTGTGCTGCTGTGACCCTTTTCCTTTATATATTGGGACTACGAATGCTTTACACCAGTCTTCCTGTACCGATATTCTAACAAATAGTTTCTTTTTTACTTCAAATGTTATACATAATCCCACCATTACATTTTTCGTCATTGTACCATACAACAGACATACAATTCATACCTTTAGATTGGCCTTATACAGTTGGCACGTCGTTACAACATAATATTTACCTAAACTGTAACAAGTTTATTAAAAACGAGTTTTTGTGATATTTTTTCTTTTTTTTTTATAGAATAAGGATGACAAACAACCATACAGTCCACCTGATGGCAAGTGAATGCGGTGGCCCATAGATATCTATATTAATCCTCGATTAAATTGTTAAATGCAGAAGCGTTGTCACCTCTGAAGACTGAAATGGTATGCCTAGTTTCCAGTAAAAAAAAAACTTCCGGTTCTCTACACTCACCATACGAAGCACAACAGCATTAAGCTATTATATTACGTTGGTATTCTGTGAGAGTGTGGTCCTATCCCGTTCGAGCCGACACATTTGTTATAACTCTACTACTAATATAGCTACAGCGTGGTTATACCACGCATAACGTGAATTCCAATATGTTATAAATGTGATTAAATATTAAAAATAAGACGAAATATAATACATAAAGAATAAATTTTGTGTCATCCGAGTTACGAAGACCTTAACATATTTTTTTCGGCCTATCTTTTGTCGCCGACAGATGGCGTTGTTAGCACAGCTAAGTGACTATAGCCGCTTAGAAAATCGATTCTTTAACAACTCACTTCATACAATCGTTTTTCTACATTACTTTTACATTAGTTTGATATTTAGCCAATGGTTTGTGGCACTTTACTCCATCGTTATTATTGATTATGGCCGACGCTAAGTGTTGATGGTAGTTTTTTTATAAGCTATAATTGCAGCTTTCATCGTAAAATCTTTATTAATTTTCATTTTTATGGACTTTTTAGTGACAAGCAAGCACACAACCCATCTGATGGTAAATAGATGCTGTGGTAAATAAAAACCTACAATTACCTCAATAAATACAAAATTACAGCTCCTTAACAAGTGGAATGATGAATCCCGCAAAGATTAAGTATTTGTATGACCTACAAATAATTGTTTCGGGTCTCGATTTTTGTCATCGTGCAATTTATTTAACACTTACGCTGTAGGTGACTCTATTTCAAACACTTTTTTTATAGAATGAGGGTGATAAACGAGTACACAGTCCACCTGATGGTAAGTGGATGGTATGGCCCATAGATATCTATGCTATCCTCGATTAAGAATCAAAATGCAGAATCGCTGTCACCCCTGAGGACCAAGATGGAATGCCTCGTTTCCAGTAAAAAGGATGTCCGGTTCTCTACACTCACTCACAGCAGCATGGTCCTGCTATTTTACGCTGGTATTTTGCGAGGGCGTGGGATCTCACCCCAGTCGAGCCGACCCATTCGTGCTACAACTATATAGCTACAGCGTGGCTCCAATATTTAAAGCTGTAACATGGCTCTACCACTTAACAAACTTTTGTAATAATAGAGAGACGTTTATTTTTTTAAATTAATTTTGACTGTCTCGAATGCCGTGTCAAGCTAAAATCTTTTATTGGTTTCATCTATCAAGATACTCTCAGCGGTGGCCCGGCGTTGGAAAGTTAGCGGTGTTTCCCCTGTACCTCGGAGAGCAAATCAAGCTGTTGCTCCTGCGCCTGATCTCTCCAAGTAAAGTGCATCTCTCATAAGTAAAAAAGGAAATTATGTCTCCCCCATAGATTGACCTGATAGGGTCCTCATCGGATATGTGTCATAGTCATCGTAGTGGGCGGGTTAACCTCAGATTTTTATTATCATTGAGTGTCATCAGGAAGACGCTGCTGTTTATCTCCCGTTTCAGATTTCCGTCACCACTCAGAGTGGTAGATTATCCTACAGCGCCACTGCCCTTACCCCAGCCCCCGGAAAATGAGCTTTCTATCGTATTAAATTAGTGTCGCCATTTGTACGACAAAACATGGCTCCATTTACGTCAAAGTTTTTTTTATAGAACAAGAGTGACAAACGAGCTCACAGGATAATGTGACCCATAGACATCTACATCTATCCTCAATTAGGAATCAAAATGCAGATGCGTTGTCACCCTATGATGTGACTATGATGGAATGCCTCGTTTCCTGTAAAAAGGGTCTCCGGTTCTCTACAC